TTAACTTCAATTGTACATTGTTCTCTGGCAATTTTAAGAAACATTTTGAGCGAGACGACGACGGAGCGACCAAACCACGTGGCAGCTTGTCCTGAGTTCTTGCGTTTTCAGCGAGATCTGGCGCCTAATAAATACCTCCTCTTACCACGTGGCGACGTCCTCTTCCGGAGAAGGTGGCGGCGCGACACGTGCCTCCGGCATCAGGGGTGGTAAAAAGAGGGGACGAGGCGCGAAATCCTCGCCTTTTAATAACCTCGGACTGCTGTCATCGGCTAGTGACAACTGGGTCACCCACTGTGTGCAGTGTGTCGCAAGAGCCGGAATGCCATATCGTGACACCACACTCTCCCCGAAAAAGGAGCAGCGCTATCGCGAAGTTTCAGTCTATTTCAGTCTGATTTGGTACATGCACATAAAGTACGCACGGTGTTTTATCAAACTCATGTATTTGACTACCGAACTTACTGAATATGTTATCAAAGATCAATGTATTATATCAAACAGTGAATGAATTCAGTAAAAGAAGTGATAAGTCACAGAGCTTATACAAAACAAGCCTATTTACTCATGTATTTGACTACCAAACTTACTGAATATGTTATCAAAGATCAATGTACACAGATAAGAACAATAATTTATCACTCAGGGTCAGCTTAAGTTAACAATCCTTTTTTGGTAAGTCCATTGCTTTATGAGAAAGCACCTTAAAACTGAGTTTAGCACCCTTTTGTGATAAATAATTAGAAGCTAATGAAATTAAAATAGCAAGTTGTCCCAGACAAAATATAAACAAACTAAAATTAAAAGGTCATTCGGACATTAAAATGAAATATAGTTTAGAAATAATTTATGTCATATACAGTAGAAAAGAGAGAAAGAAATAATGTGCCAACACTGCTCTTGTTTGAAAGTCGAGAAAAAAAATAGAAAGGAGAAGGGGGGGGAATGTTATCGAGGGGCCTTTGATGGAGCCCATTGGCGAGGGCACATAGGCTGCAGCCTGCTAGTGGGAAAGATGGTTCTACCAAAGTTTCCTCACCGTCATTGGTCTGCCGTTGCCAAGTGCAATCCACTAGTCCAAGCACCTGGCCCTGTACTCTCCGCAGAGAGATGATTAGTGGGACCTTGTTGGCTGCAGCCTGCTAGTGGGAGAGATGGTTCTACCAACGTTTCCTCACCGTCATAGGTCTGCGATCGCCAACGCGGTCGGACGGATCCAAGCCTAGAGCTCCTATCACAGACAGGATCCACAAGTTAGGGCCATTGACTGCAGCCTGCTAGTGGGAGACATGATTCAATCAACGTCTCCTCACCGTCATAGGTCTGCCTTTGTCAACCCCTGCCCGACCGCATTGAGTGGGCTTGGATGTGGACAAACCACTGCACCAAGGGAAAGGGGAGTAAAAAAAATGCAGAAATGAGGGTGAAGAAAAAAAAATACGCAAAGGGACTAACAGAACAGGCGCCCATCAACGAGGAGAACACCAAAAGATACAGGAAGTGCCGACGTTTCGGTCGCCATTCTGCGACCTTTCTCAGAGCGTAATGCGTCCGTCACCTATGCCATAGACGCGGCGTCACCCGAACAGCCAAGAAAATACTAATTCCGGCCGCGGAAGCCTTACGCTCTCAAAAATCAACAAGCAAACAAGAACAGTGCATGCAACATTTTTAGGTCGTTCGTTCACTTAAGAAGTCCGCACGACACTCTGAAGAGCTCCTCGCACTTTAAAGAAGTGCTAATTGTGTTGCGTCGCTCCTCGTGCGGCCTCGACGCGTGGCGGTGGCAGCTTCTGCCGGACTGAGTCGCTGTGCTGTCTGTCCAGAGGAGTTGCTTTTGGGCAGGGGCTGGGAGTTGTCGTTATCGCCCGCTGAGTTGGCAGAATCGTCTCTCGTAACGGGTCAGAGCTTAATTCTGAAAAGAACGAAGAAAAAAAAATCGCATTAAGTATCTATGAGCACCTGAGGTGAAAAGTGGAAAATGGAAAGGGAAAGTGATAAGACAGAAATATAGAGGAATATCAGGGCTTACGGACAGTCTCGCCAATGATAAAGGCGATTTGGATGGGAAAAGGTGAAAGAAATTGTTGCATTTTGATTCCTGCGTTGTCCGCAGGTTTGCAAACAGGAACGAGGCTACCGTATGCTGCGTAGTCTAGTGGTCGGGAATGTCACAGTCTCCGGGACGTGGGAGAGCGCTAATACTATGAAATAAAAAGGCAAACCAAACTGTCTCACATGAGGAGCAGTGAAAATCCTTCTAAGCTCCTATTAATGATAATTGCTCTTTCAGGACGAGAAGAAGAGCACTTTCTTTCTTCGGATGAGCAGTACATAAATATCTAATATACCTAAAACTAACTCTGCATTCTCTTCCTTACTTGCAAGGTTTACTTCCTAACTCTACCAAACTATTTGTATAATTTAGATAACATGTCATCTAAAGTATTTTCACATTTACAAACAGTGGTAATGAAATTCCACAAAATTCACGTACTTCCACTCCATTTTGCAAAACTCGGGGCTAAAGGTCTTTGTCACTATTAAACCAACAGAGTATCTTCGGATCTTGCGTTGCTGGTGCCAGTAACAAACTTAACATATTGTCAGTTCTTTGAACAAGCCACTATCTTCTCATATTCAGTTCACTCAGCTTCGCCTGTAGTTCATCAAATTGTCATTCTCTTTCCGTACTCAACTTTTGTGTTTACACTGTAATTAAGAGATCCAATGCTGCATTTTCCAATCTAGTCATCCTCCCAGCAGTACTTTCACGTACACTGCTAATTTTCTTGGATAAATGTGATGGACACCCAGGAAAAATTGAGGGAACAGCATCTGAAAACAAAAAGTCCCATTTTTCAAATATTTCATCCTATTCATAAAATATTTCAATTTCATGACTGCATTTATCACTCATCTGGTCATAGACGGGGATAAGCCAAAATTGTAGTAAATAATTCTGCAGTTTTCTGGATCATACTTACTAGGAGTTTTTTCTATCATCTCAGATGGGAAATGTTGCTCACATACCTTCATAGATTAGATTAGATTATTTATTTCATCCAACTGGTCAGAACATATGACATGGGACATAAAAATGAATTTTTGTATCATATTTAAAGAAAGTACTACTTACTCTTGAACTCTTTGTTATAAAATATCCTTCGCTACAAATTGCTCTGAGCCTGGCTCTGCATCGTTCTCCTTCTTCACGGGGGAAAGAGAAAACAGCAGCCTTTGGGCCACTTGTTTAGTTGCCCTTTCAGTTAAGGACACATCAATTTGGCATTGTGCTCTGAAAACAAGAAGATACAGTTTTATTGCATCAAAATAAAATTAAAATAATTAGAGCGTATTACTTACCTATTACAAATTCTCTTGCAAGGTTAGCGCACTAAAACAATACGAGTAAGTAATGCACACAATTATAGTTTAAACATTATTTCACACATCTACATCATCTAGGTAATACTGTTTTATAAAAAAGATAAAAATACTATCCCTACTCGTATGTTATAGCACTTAATTCACAATACTTTGCTGTACCTAAGAGAAAGTTTTGAAAACAGGAATTCAAATTAGCGTAATGTGTATCAACCAAGCCCGCAAACATCAATATGAGAAGCAATTCTCGAAGCAGTCAGTAAACATGGATCGGAAACACTAGCACAAGCTCGCTCTAAATTGCAAAAACTCACAGCACACTGCACTGAATACATCCTTCTGGGCGACCGCCGCTGGTACTCATGATGACGTCATCCCACAGTGACGACTCAGTGCGCAGGCTTTGTTTTTCAACAGGGCGTAGCCTCATCTTACGTCTTTCCACCATGGCTCTACCGTCACCACCCTCTCGGGCCACATAGGCTTGTGTGCAATTCCAAGGGTCATGTTGCTCTTTGTAAATACAACGAAAATTATGGTTCACGAAGTTTTGTGAATGAACACCAAAATGTTAACATTTTTGCTTGAAATTTGGGAGTTTTTGCAGAGTGAAGCGTTTCAGCAATCGACAACACAATCGATATTCTGAACATGCGCAGTTCGAGTTTTGCATCATGCATCATGCACATGAGCGGAAGATCGATATTGCAGTCGATTGCTGTACGTTCCATTTTAACATTTTAATTAAAGCTAAATTGTATGTACCGTACAGCGTTTATAATCACATTGGAAGCCAATTCTTTAAAAGATTTTTATCGTACGGTAATTATCACTAAATAATGTAATGTGTGTTAAATTGTTTTTCACAAACGTTGAATAAAGTAATTGTAAAGCAAAAATTGCTTGAAAAGAATAATAATAATTTCTGAAACACCTAAATACCGGTTTGGAAATTTCCAAGCATGTACAGTCAATGAGTGTTGTGTGTGGTTTCAAAACCCCGTAAAATTTATAATAGGCAATTATATTATTTTGGAATTTAATTTCTTAAATAGAATTTCAGACACAAACTGTTTTAAAAATATCTTCATAAATGCTATAGAAAAGAGATCACATGGTACAGTACAACGCTTGAGGTTCACTGAATTAGTAAATTTATTGATTTGAACGAAATCGCAATAATGAAAAGGAAGTTTGAGTTTTGTGTTGAGAATGTATCATTTACAAGTATCACCACACCATTTCATTGAAAACAAAGTGAAAAAACTCTAAATTGTCAACAATCACTTAGTTTATTCCATTATGACACTCGACATGCGGATAAAAACATCGGTTACTTAATGTTACAATGCCTTTACACTAATAACATATTTATTCGGAACATTATTTAACAACATTGAAGCAAAGTAAGATCCTTTTAAAACATCATAAAACATTCCTCTGTTACTCTAAGAATATAGTGGAAACACGTTATGGTGCTTAAACTAGAAAGGAAGAATGGCGAATTTAAAATAATTCATGTTCTTTGAGTCATTTGATACAAATAACTCAAATAAACTTAAAAACTAAATTAATAAAATAAAAATAACGAAATGTAATTTTTTAAAAAACCTATGGTACGGCTCACAGTTTCTTCAGAACCGAAGATGAGGTTTGTACTTGATCATGTGCCTAAAACAGAAATAAATAATAATGAAATTTAAAAAAAGTATCTAGTGACATTCGTATGACTACAGTAATAACAGTTATTTTTTATATGAGTGGTAAAAGTGACATTTTAATTTCCGAGTATGAAAGGTTGCGACATGATGGGGATAGGGCGAGTGGCGCAATTATGCGATCAAAACAAATCCACATTTATCACGTGTGTCATATGCTGTATTTTAGAGTCTTACTGACTTCAATTTTAATTCAAGTACACGAATCATTTAATGATACTTTAAGGGGAACAGAAGACACACGAATATATTTTGTTTTGATTCTTGCATTCACAGATTTATCCAACACTTAAGCGTTATTTCACTTTTGCCAATAGTGCTTAAAAAATTAAACTTTTAGCTCACTATGCCGTCAAAGAAGCACTTTAACGGGTAACTTTCTAAAACATCTTTTTTCCCTGATTATTGGAAAATCTATAGTTTTATTGCAAGAGGAACACATTCGAGGTATCAAATTCCTTGAATAAACCTATTTTGAGTTTCTCCCTATTGAGAGTTTGAGTTGATCTCCTATTTAATTCCAGCATTACCGATGGAGGGCACCACCAACTAGACACTCATTTTCCGCCATGTGACCGGATACTTTTGATCACATAGTGTACATAACGTTTGTACAGACATAATTGTTTTTAAATATGTATTTTATGGCCCTGCATTTTAGTCATAAATTCTTTGCATTTTTCAATCAATTTCGAATGTGTCTCATAGTTTGGTATTTTCCCAGACTTCCTGACTATCTGAAGAAATCATTGACACCTTTCACATGGTCAGAGACTGCATAGTTTCCGTAAATTTGTTTGAATCTTCTGAACAGGTATCTGCATGCGTATTACTTTCTCGCTACTGCTTAAGGAGAAAGTTATGTATTGCTGGGCGAAAAAACGGCAATTTTTTGGCATAAAACTCTGACAAAATAACTTCTTCAAACTTCTTACATGAATGCCGCAAAGGAATATTTTAGATTTGTAGGTTACTTTACATCAAGCCCCTGGGAACTTCAAAAAAATGGCTCCATAGTTATTTATTAAATTTTGTCGTTGGGAAGTGTGTAGGTCGTTTAAGAGAATGTGTGTAGGACTAACGTTCGTTGGAAACTCGAATTTTTGAAGGTAAATATTTTCCCCTAAATGGAATCTGTTCCTTAAAGATAGGTTTCGAAATAAGGTCAGGTAAGATTTTTCGAAAATTTGCATACTTTTCACGCAACTAGGTGAGAAAGTATGTGCTGTTTTTGCACCACTAGTTATCTGTGCGCCGGGGTCGGGGCGCACTACTCACTTGTCGAGCTTCTCCCAGAAGACCTTGAGCGCTGCGCGGTCCAGATGGCGCTTCGTGCGAGACAGCTCGATCACGTGCACCGCCCACTTGGCGACGTTCGGGTCCAGGCGGATCTCGTCGTACTTCACGTGGAACGCGCAGACTGCTCACACAGAAAAAAACGTCTTGGATTACTTGAGGACAAAACTTAACAAAGAGTCACCTACACTAGCAAACAATTAATCTGTATTTAAGCACACAATCCTGATCGATGTTTTCTAACAAGCCAACTGTTCAGGTCTTTAGTCCCTTGTAGTACTTGTTTTTATCGCGGAAACAGGCGGTGAACTATCCTCAATGAATGACGAGATGCGGCTCTATACGTCGGCTTAAGGGGTTTTCCCCATTTAGGTATCTCCCATCAGCACAGCACTTCCCCAGTCGCGACAAGCACTGAACTTCCGACTAGCCCTCAGGAATGTCTTGAAAGTGAAACGCGAGTAAGTGTTAGTGTGTGTAAGGGGTAAGGACAGGACTAGGAAGAGAAAGGTGAGGTCGCGCGTGGTCCGTGGCCCGTTTGTTAGGCATTCACTGATGTTGATCGGAGAAACAACGTAAAAACGGATCGGAGAAACAAGTGTAAAATACACTTACAATCGAGAAGTAGGTGCGATTTTGATTGTTGACTAAATTTCCGAAAATTGTAAGTTTGGGATTTTTTCGGCTTCTTTTCGCTACAAAATTACGATAGTTTTTTTCCTTCAAATGAAATATGTTGTCAATAATTAGTTCTTTAATGAAAGTCATATACATTTTTTAAAACATTTTCGTACTTTCCGCCCAATAGTGCATGAAATTTGCTCAATATAAAAATATCAATAGCAATAACTATTAACAAACGGTTCCAACCTTTTTCTTGGTAGCGATAGAGCTAAATGTATTTCGTATACTGGATGAAAGACGCGATTTTCCTCCATTCTTTTGCTTTTCCCAAATTACACTATTGTAGTTTTTTGACATCTCTTTTGTTAATATGTACATTAACGGTGATTTGTCTTCTTTACTTAATTTGTGAAAACAAGTTATTCAAATGATGTCTTATAAATGTTTTATAAGCACTTTAAAGTTTTTGTAAAAATGAGCTCACAGTTGTGTATTTTCAGAAACGCTCAAACGGCATTTTCTCAAAAACATCTTTTTTCTTCAAACTTTTTGTACGTAGAGTGCTAAGAGCATTGTATAAAATGACAAACGTTATTTTGATGATTTTTTTCTTCAAAAATTAATCAAATGTACTTTTTAAAAAATCTTCCACACCCTTAATATGCGCATTTCCAACTATTAATTATGGAAATCGGGCATAGAAGTGCTTCACATAATTTACAATTGTGTTTTTCGAAAATTTTATTGTTTTCTGTCAAAAAGAGTTTCAAATATTGCATTTAACTGTTAACGATATTTTTTTTAATCACTCGAAAACCGAAAAATTGATAACAATTCAAAAATATGTAGCTTGGGCGGTGATAGATGAGATTGGGATGAGGGTAAACGGAAATCTAAACAATAATAGAAATTAAAAAAACTAACTAGTACAGGACAGTCTGCCATTCTGCAGCACCTCTAGTTTAAATTAAAAAATATTCATTAAATATTGCTAATGCATATGCACTGTAGCAGCGGTACCCACTCTTTGCGAAGATCTCAACGGGGTTGCCGCCCCAGGGCCAGCCCTTGAACTGCCAGGCGGGGCCCATGACGAAGACGGCGACGACGCGCTCCCAGTCGGTGGGCGCCAACTTGCGCGGGTTGTCCACCACGCGGTAGGGCACGGTGAGGCCGCCGTCCTTGCGGCGCTGCAGCAGCACCTCGCTGTCGTGGCGCCCGCCCTCGGCCCGCCGCGCCTCGGGGCTGACGAACCTGCGACAGCCGGACGCGCGACGCACTGCCAACGAAAGCAATCAACCTCGCGGCTGGAGCATTTTTTTTTTAAATTATTTTTGGCAAGGAACTGTTATGGAGAACAAGTACAATCTGCGCTCGTGTTCTTGGGACGTCTTCTACTGTCATCTTACGGACAAAGGGCCAGAAGAAGGTACCTGCTGCGGTCCCTTTGTCCGTTGTCGCCGGAGGGTCGGCGAAGAGCACTGATGATTGACGTTCGCGCGCTTCTGTGGCGGCGTGGGCAAGCGGCCTGAGAGTCCAACCACTCATGAAATCACTTTTGCAGTTTGAAGTCCCATCCTTCCTGCTGGGTACATAGAACTGTGCCCTCGGAGGCGGGCGGGGCGATAGTGTTCTCGGCGCGCGGGAGGTGTGGCCCAATGCGGGGGCAGAGAGTGCGGCATGACCCGCAGGACAGCGGGAACTGTGTAGTTCCGAGAGGCGCTACCAGAAGCGGGTTGAGCAGCGACCAAGCAATAAAGTGCGGCCATGAGAACGCACCCCTCCCTACCTTCCCGCCGTAGGGGCAGCGAAGCAGATACCAGAATGATAATGGCGGGAAGTGTATGGATTGGCACGTGTGGTTTGGGGGATGATATACAAGTTGTGTTCAAAAAAAGACCGGACTTTGCTGTCGTGTCGCCCGCCCTCGGCCCGCCGCGCCTCGGGGCTGACGAACCTGCGACAGCGGGACAAGCGACGCACTGCCAATGAAAACAATGATCTTCGCACCTGGAGCATATTTTTTTTATTTTCTTGTTTTATTTTTGGCAAAGGACAGTAAAATTTATTTGACGAATGGAGGAGAAGTACAATATGCGCCCGAATTCTCGCGACGTGTTCTACTGTCATCTTCATGTCCAACCATTCATGAAATCACTTTTGCAGTTAGGAGTTCCATCCTTTCTGCTGTATTGTGCCCGCGCAGGTTGGCGGGTAATGCACTGTGCTAGGCAGGCGGGAGATGCAGCCCAATGTGGGGCAGAGAGAGCGACCCGTGGGACAGCGGGAACTGAATAGTTCCGAGGGGCTCATTTATTATGAATACATCCCGAAAAGACGAACAGTTAATAAAGAATACTATGTAGAAATTTTGGAGAGGATACGGCATGATGTGAGAACGAAAAGACAATGAATTGTGGAAGGATCGAAAATTCAAACTCTACTATGACAACGCGAGGGCGCATGCCTCGAACTTGTAACCGAGAATGTGGCGAAAACCGCAAAACTGTGATACCGCAGTCTCCCTATTCGGGCTTTAGCCGACGTTTTTCTGTTTCCGAGAAATCCATCTTGAAATAATGCCGATTTGACTCACTCGAGAATATAGAAATTGTGCAGTGAATCTCTTGGTGATTCTGAAAGCAGCATTTCAGATGGCACTTGAATGCTGAAAGAAACGCTGGGTGCTGTATGTGACTAGACAAGGAATGTACTAAAAGGCGACAAATAGTATTAATATATATATA